CACGTCTCCCTTCCTGCACCCTCATCTTCCTGACAGCCCGGGAGAAGCTGGCACTGGTGGCCCCATTTATAGACGAGGAACAGGCTCAGAGATTGGGAGGGGCCTGCCCAAGGTCACCCAGCTGGGGAGGAGGGGCAGCCCAGGAGCTGTCAGTCTGACTGTCCACACACTACATCAAGACTGCCCCTCAGGCTGGGACTGCCACCCTCAGAAAGTCACACTCCAGGTGGGGAAAAAGAGGGTCCAAAGCCCCTATATTCGCTCAGCACATGCTGACAGTTGGCCTTCCACCAAGGGGGCAGGGAAAAGCATGAGCTTCGGAAGAACAAAACTGAATGTGAATCCTGACCACACTGTGATCCTGGGAAGCCAACTTCACCTCTCTGGTGTCAGTACCGACCTCTAGAAATTGATGGAAGGGTACTCACCTCCAAGGGTTCTTGGCAAAAGTAAATGAAACACCCAGGGTAGGAGCCACAGTGTCCAAACCAAATATGGAAGCCACACTAACCTCCAAACCTCAGGCAAATGCCTGGCCCCATAGGGCCAGAGCCTTTCTGAGCAGGAGCCTTCCAGGCTAGGGTCTCAGGCCCCCTGTCTTCAGGCCTGGCTTCCACTCGTGCTCTGGAAATGCCCTCTGGCCAGTCTTTCTAGTCCCAGTTTCCCCAGTCCTACTCCTCCCTCTCCCTAGGGCAGCTCCAGGGCCCCATCTGAGGACCAGTTGCCAGGGATGAGCCTCTCTCTTAAAGGGACACATTGGTGGCCACAAGGGCTACTCCCTCCGGTTGAGGTGAGAATTCAGGAAGAGACTGTGAAAGGTATTTGTAAGGAAATTAGTTCCCCCCAGGTCTAAGGCACAGGTGTGCTATTGTTGTGGACCCAATCCACAGGAGACAAAAACCTGTCCTGCCCTGTGAACCCCATCCTACAGCTTCTGGATCCTTGCAGCAGGGGTGGGACCTGGGTATCTGCATTTAATCAATTCGTAGGAATTCTTCGGCAATGGAACAGATATTGGCTGTGAGATATGAGAGGCGAATCTACACAATTCCAGCCCCACCCGCCGGCTCTACACTCTTGGGCCCTGGGAGGGGTTTCAGGTCCTGCCAGTGCCCAGAGTCCCAGGGACCAGATCTGGATGGAGCAGGAGGAGCAGGAGAACGAGCTGGGTTTTCCTTCCCACAGAGATGATTCTGTTGGCTGTCTGCATCTAACAGAAAACAAAAGCTTTTTGAAGGCAGGGCCCTTGTTTTGTTCTCTATGGTTTTCCCAGAACCCAGAACAGTGTGTAGCACAATGCATTTGTTTAATGAATAAATCAGACTCTGGCACAGGGCCTGGAAAAAAAGGGCAGATTTTTTCTTTTGCCCAGCTTGAATATGGCTCCTCAGCAGGGCACAATTATTGATCCTTTTTTTTAAGGATTTGTGTATTTTTTTGAGAGAGAAAGCACAAGTGGGAGGGAGAGGGAGAGAGAATCTCAGGCAGACTCTGAGCTCAGCATGGTGCCCAACTCAGGGCTGGATCTCACGGATCCAAGATCACCACCTGAGCTGAAACCAAGAGTCAGACGCTCAACCGACTACGCCACCCAGGCGCTGCCCCTATTGATCCTGTCTTTTAAATTTTTTCTGATATTCTGCTCATCATGGATTCTTTTGCATTAAGTTTGATTTTTTAAAAAATATTAAGTTAAAAAGAAAAAATTAAATTAAAATGCCATTTATTTTTAGATTTATTTTGGTACTCTCCTAAGTTTTTTTGCCTGTGGCGGATAACTCACTTTACCTCCCCATGGCCCCCCAAACTCCCCTACCATAAGAGGAAACCATCCTTAAAAGGATTCTACACCCACCCTGGAAGAAGCCCTCCACCCTTTTCCACATGATAGATAGATGACAAAAACCTGATTGGGTGACAGGCACATAGAGGATTTTTTTTTTTTTTAGAACTATGCTGTTGGATATAATTTAGCTGGCTTTTTATTTTTAAAAAGATTTTATTTATTTATTTTAGAGAGAGAGAGAAAGCACGAGCAGGGGGAGGGGCAGGGGGAGAAGCAGGCTCCCCGCTGAGCAGGGAGCCTGATGCGGGACTCAATCCCAGGACCCCGGGATCATGACCTGAGCCAAAGGCAGCCGCCGAACCCGAATGAGCCACCCAGGCACCCCACAGAGAGGATTAATCAGATTAAAACAGCCCGCCAACAAGCCCATAAAAACCCCTAGACTTAGAAACTCCGGTGACAACCCTCTTGGGTCTCCTACCTCTTCAGGAGCTTTGTACTATCACTCAATAAACTTTATACTATCGCTCAATAAACTTTGCTTTGCTGCCCACTACTCTTCATCTGGTCTACCTCTTCATTCTTCAAAGCGACATTGACCAAGGGCTGCGGGCACAGAAGGAAAATAAATCTTGCAACAACAATAGTACCTTCTAGAATTGCCCTGAGAATGAATGAAGATATGCGGTCAAGTGCCCAGTGTGGGGGCTAGGACACGGTCAGGAATCAATAAATAACGGTTACTACTGATGTAGTTTTGGAATGTTGGTGAGGTCAGGAGCCAACAGCCAAGAAAGAATTCTTGAGATGTCTTTGATGCAAAAATGTGATTTTATAAAAAGGTGATTTTATTAAAGCGCAGGGACAGGACCCATGGGCAGAAAGAGCTGCTGCACTAGGGTTGTGAGGGGTGGCTGATTATATACTTGGGAGTTGGGGGTTAAGGAAAAAGGGAGGTGTCCAAAAGGACTTTCATCTGCTGAAGAGGACTTCAGGATACTGGAGGCCTTGACATTATCAAGCTAAGGTGGTTTTTCCCTCTAGTAAAGCACTAACATGAAGATAGTTGGAAGTTTCCTGGAAGAATGTCACACATACCGCACCCAGGAAGGGGGCGGGGGTCCCGGGATGTCAGCTTGTGCTTTGTCTTCAGCTTGCCTTCTGCTCCTTCATCACTACTATCTCACTGTTCATAGTCATATCAGGTGGGAATTACATCCCCATTATATAGATGGAGAAACAGGTCAGGAAAGGTGACCTGTTCAAGTCCTTACAGTTAGCAGGGACCAAACTACAGTTTTCCTTACTCTGCCTCCCATGATCTTCCCAGGCCTCTGCAGCTACCGAGACAAAAATAAACAAACAAAGCCCAACTACCAAAAGCATGGTGCACTGAAGTGCCACTCGTGGGTGTGTGGATGTGTGTCTTTGCATGACCAAAACTGCCAGAGCTGATCACAGGCATCAGGGCAAGAATGGTGGGTGCAGCAAAAATGCTCACCCAGGCATACCCCCAAGCTGAATGCTCCCCCTGGGAGCACAGAGGGAAGCAGGGGTGGGCTTGGCTCTGGCAGTATGGAAGGAAACCAAGAAAGAGAGTCTTGGAGAAGAGGAAGCTGCAGTCGATGCATTTCCAAGGGGAGAAAAACGTTAAAATTCACCATAATTACCACCACCTGGAGACAGCCTGCTACTTTCCATTACAATGCTCCCTCCATGTTAAATATTCTACAACACAGATTCTACGGCTTCACGGCACTTCATCTCATAAATGGATCATAATTAATTTAACCAATGCCCAATTTTTCCCCTTATTTTCTACAAGTTAAATTGCTGGCTCAAAGGTCTGCCCATTTTTAAGACTTCTGATGTGCCAATAGCTGTTTAACCAGTAATAATATCAAACACATCTGTATAAATTCTCCTTTGGAGGAGGTCTGCTGTGTGCCATGTGGGCTTTTTCATTTATTATTTCTTTGCAGGTGCACAGCAACCGTACAAAGTGGTGGTGTTCTTCCCATTTTACAGATGGAGACACAAAGCTTCAGAGAAGTGAAGTGACTTGTGCAAAGTCACATAGTGGTGGAGCTGGGAAGAAAATCTAAAACTGTCCGTAAAGTCAATGTGATGGTTAAATAGTTGTGAACAGAAGGATCCGGGAAGGTTTCTTTTTTTTTTTTTTTAAGATTTTATTTATTTATTTGAGAGAGAGAATGAAAGAGAGAGAGCACGAGAGGGGGGAGTGTCAGAGGGAGAGGCAGACTCCCTGCCGAGCAGGGAGCCCGATGTGGGACTCGATCCCAGGACTCCAGGATCATGACCTGAGCCGAAGGCAGTCGCTTAACCAACTGAGCCCCCCAGGCGCCCCCGGGGAAGGTTTCTTTTTTTTTTTTTTTAAGATTTTTTATTTATTTATTTGACAGAGACAGAGATAGCGAGAGCAGGAACACAAGCAGCGGGAGGGGGAGAGGGAGAAGCAGGCTTCCCCCCGAGGAGGGAGCCCGATGTGGGACTCGATCCCAGGACCCTGGGATCATGACCTGAGCTGAAGGCAGACGCTTAACGACTGAGCCACCCAGGCGCCCTCCCCGGAAGGTTTCTTGAAGGAGGTGGACCATGACCTGGGCCTCATGGGGTGGGCAGAATGACAGCAGGAGGAGTAAGGGTCGGCGAAGGCCATCTGGCAAAGTCTAGAGCCTGAGCAAAGGACATCAGGTGATTACTTATAAAGCTTAAGATTTGTAGGGCAAAGACATTAGCAACGAGCGGGTGAGTCATAGATGGCAGGCAGGGCGAGTCGGGGACAGCTCCGGTTCTTTGAGTCCCGCCCCCGCCCCGCCCCGCCCTGCACTGCACTGCGGGGTTTGAGGCTCCGCCCCCGCCCAGCCCCTTCTCGACCAGATGCAATCAGAATCTTCCCGCCGAGGAGCGACTCTGGCCCCGCTCCTCTCTTCCGGGTTCTATCCCTCACTTCCCGCCCGGCCCAGGCCCAGGCCCCGCCCGCGTCCGGTTTGGAACAGTCTGACCAACCCGCCGCGCTCTGCTGCGCCCTATGCCACGCCCCCTCCCCTCCTGGTGCAATCAGAATCAGCCTTCGTGAGTCAGCTCAGGCCCCGCCCCTGGCCCGTCCAGGCAGTTCTTCTCCCTCCGAGATCACGCCCTGACCACGCCCCTTCATGGTTTGGCACCCGCCGGCGGGCCGACTGGCTCCGCCCCTCCCAGGCCCCGCCCGGTCAAGCCTCTTTCCGAAGCGGCTCCGGCGGCCGCATCCCTGGCCTCGGCGGTGCGCGCGGAGCTGCAGGTATGGCGGTCTCGGCTGAGGGCGCCCGCAGGAAGGAGCGCGTCCTCTGCCTGTTTGATGTGGACGGGACCCTCACGCCGGCTCGCCAGGTAAGGCCCCGACGTTCAGCAGCTCCCGTCGGGAGTGTCACGCGGACGCTCAGAGGCCGAAAGTGGTGGCCCAGGACCGAGTGTGGGATGCAGCGGTACCCCACCCAGGGCCGCCCGCTGGGAGTGATGGGGCCCCGGTCCCCCGTGTCGCAGCCCCCGAGCGTCTGCGCCCACCTTCTGCCTGGGAGCGTCGGGGCGGGTGGGATTCTGGAGGGAGGAGGCTGCGAGCGGGGACCTAGCTTCCCTACCCCCCCTCAGGCTTCTTCTCGCCGGAGCCTGGTCCCCGGACGCCCCCGCCTCCCCAGCCCGGGCTCCCGCCCCTAGGACGCACCTGTAGCCCGAAGCTGGCATCTGAGCCCAGGGTTCTAGACAGGGCTCGGCGCGCGCCCTGGCACCAGAGTCGCCATCTAGTGAGCGTCCGGGAGTCTTGGAGCCGTACCACCCGACCTTTGCAGGCCTGGCCTAGGTCTAATTTCTCAAGCTCCTCAACCACTTTACCTCCCACCCTGTTATGGAGGGAGGTAGGGCTTCTGTACCTTTTTGGATGAGTTTTGGGCCCTGCCCACCTGGAAGTGAGAGTCCCCGGGCCTAGTGTGGTCACTGTGAAGGTATTGTGGCCCAGGGAGGGTGGGAGTACAACTCTTCTAAAGACTTGTCACCGTGTTGATCCTCCAAATTCTGCTCCACGCTCGTTTTTCTAGCTTTGGATCTCACCCTAGATGAGCCCCTAGACCGATCCTCACCAGCTGGGTACATAAATAAGCAGGCCTCTTTCTTGCCAGCCTTGAGGGTATTCCACCCTCCAGTCGGGCCATAAGGAACAACTGGGATCCCCTAGAGCAGGGAGCCATAGGGCTGGGTTGCAGAGCAGAGGCTGATGGGAAGACAGGTCTTAGCCTCCCCTCTTAGGTCCTGAATGCACCCCCCCTTCCCTATCTGAGAGCCCTGGATTAAGTAGGCTCTGGGAGCACAAGGAGGAATCAAGCTCCTCTGCCTCCAGCAGCTCCCAGGGTCACCAGGGATGGGAGAAGGATGACAGTGGAGGGAGGGTGGCAAGGTCTAAGGCACAGCCCCAACCCCTCCCTCTGACCCTTTGCTCCACTGACCCAACAGCCTGTACAAGGGTTATTGCTGTCCGCCAATTTTAGTGCCAAGCCCTATCCTTAGTGCTTTTAAAGGTTAATTTCGGGGGCGCCTGGGTGGCTCAGCCGGTTAAGCGACTGCCTTTGGCTCAGGTCATGATCCTGGAGTCCCGGGATCGAGTCCCACATTGGGCTCCCTGCTCGGCAGGGAGTCTGCTTCTCCCTCTGACCCTCCTCCTTCTCATGCTCTCTGTCTCTCATTCTCTCTTGCAAATAAATAAATAAAATCTTTAAAAAAAAAAAAGGTTAATTTCGGGGGCCCCTGGCTGACTCAGTCGGAAGAGCATGTGACTCGATCTGGGGTTCCCAAGTTCTAGCCCCACGTGGTACAGAGATTACTAAAACAAATAAATAAATAAAAGTTAATTTTTAATTATACACATATTCATGAACACATTCTCTTGTGAAGAATGAAAACAGAGATGCTAAAGTGCCTTCTGACTACATCAGGATCCCAGGTCCAACCCCACATGACAGGTGGTTGCCTGTCATGTGACCTCCCTCCAGACCTTCGTCTAGATCTGTTTGCTCAGAACAAATACTATGCGGTTTTTGTGAGGCTTTTCTTTTCTTTTCTTTTCTTTTTTTTTGAAGGTTTTATTTATTTATTTGAGAGAAAGAGGGAGAAGCAGGGTTCCATCCCAGGACCCCGGGATCATGACCTGAGCCAAAGGCAGCTGCTTTAACCGACTGAGCCACCCAGGTGCTCCTGTTTTGTTTTGTTTTTTTTAATGAGTAGTATCATACTGTGTGTGCCTTCCTGCAACTTGCTCTTTTTTTTTTTAAGATTTCTTTATTTTGGGGGGGCAGTGAGAGGGAGAGAGAGTCTCAAGCAGACTCTGTGCTGAGCAACTTGCTTTTGACAGTTAACAGCATGTCTTAGGGGCTCTCGCCTGTTGGAAGCACAGGCCTGCCTTACTCTGGGTGACCACAGTGTAGTATTTCAGAGCACGTACTTACCATTCTCCGGGTGACAAGCCTAGGAGTTGTTTGCAGGTGTTCACTGTGATAAACCATACCTCAGTGAACCTCCACATACACCCAGGCAAGGGAAGTGGAAATTCTAGGTGACGGGGTGCATGCATTTTAAGTTTTCTTGCCAAATTACCCTACAAAGTGGCTGCACCAATTTACACTCTCACTGGCAGAATTTGACATGGTCATTCCCTATAGGAATTGTCAGCTTTAAATAGCTGAAGGCCTGAAAACCTGGAGTGTAACTCATTAGTTTTCATTTCCTTGGGGAATCTTCATGTGATTAGTCACCAGTTAATTGCTTGTTCGTTTCCAAGCACTCTGGTCCCGCTATCTCACTTAATCTTAGCACTGACCACCTCCAGCTGGTTGCTACTTTGATCCCCATTTTATAAATGGGACAATCACTAAGGCAAAGAAAGCAAAGCCAGTTGCCCAGGATCAGCCTGCAACTGAGGGACTTGAGCCAGAGTTTGAATCCATTACATCTCATTTTGAGGTCTGGGTTCTAAACCTTGAGCTACCTCAGATTCAGATGGAACATGGCTTCCTGGATTCTGAGCGCTGAGTGTGGGTTGAGTGAGGTCCCAGACATGCTGACAGCCAGAAATCTTGTGCTTTCCCCACCCCCACCCCCTGCAGAAAATTGATCCTGAGGTGGCTGCCTTCCTGCAGAAGCTGCGGAGTAGGGTGCAGATCGGTGTGGTCGGTGGCTCCGACTACTCTAAGATTGCTGAGCAGCTGGGAGAGGGGGATGAAGGTAGGAGGAGCACCCAGAGCCAGTTCCACAGTCTGGATGGGGGTGGGGGGAGTTGGGGAGGTCCCTGGACCCATGTGCCTTCAAAGACCCAGCCCCGCGTCTGTGGGGCAGAGGAGGCAGAGGGAACAGCCAGATCGCTCCCTCACTGATTCATAGTGAGCGCCGGCCATGTGCCAGGCACCGTGTCAGCTTTGGAGGAAGGGCAGGGAACAAAGCAGGCAGAATCTTGCCCTGGAGAAGTTGACATTCTCAGCTCTCTCTGCTGAGTCTCAGGTGCTCTCTTTAAAATGCGCGCAGTCAGTAATGGTTACCATTATTGAAAATGACCATGTGTTGACTTCTTTTCGTGCATCCTCACAACCACACTTTAGGGTGGGAACAGTTACCACATTGAACAGAGAAGGATTCTGAAGTCACCCGGGAAGTTGTTTGGGCCCCAGAGCATCTGTTCTCAGCTGAGTGCCCTGTTTCAGCACAATTGAGGCAGATCCCACCAGTTTGCAAACCAGAAACTTTACCAGACTTTTCCCTTTTCCTCACCCCCTTGTGCATTCCATCAGCAAGTCTAGAAATATCTCCCTGTGGGTCCACGTCGGCATCTCCACCGCCCTTCCATTGTCCAGGTTCCCTCCTGGCTGTGCTCCCTGAGCCTCCTCCTCATGCCCCCTCCAGCCACTTACTGTGGCAGCCAGATCTGAAAACTCCCCCATGCAGCCACCCTTGAAGAACACTGAGGGAAGCTATAAAACAAAGCGGAAGCCCCTGGACCCTGGGGCTGTGGGAACAAGTAGAAATGGCGCCCCCTGCTGGGGAGTCCTGGGAGGCTTCCAGAGGAGTGAGCTAGATCTTGGAGGGAGGAGGGGAAGTGAGGGGAGAGCGGTCCAGGCAGAAGGACATATGTAAGCAAAGGCCCAGAGGTGTGACTGGCTTGCTGGCTTGTTTGGAAAAAAAAGCTGAAGGTGAAGAGCCTAGAAAAGCAGGTTTAGGATGGAACAAATGGGCTTTGAATGCCAAACCCAGGAGTGTGGGCTTTATCCCTCTACTTGGCTCTGGGTGCTTAGTCTCACACTCTTTCTTTTTTCCTGGCTTCTATGGGCCCCTGAAGTCATCGAGAAGTTTGATTATGTGTTTGCCGAGAATGGGACCGTGCAGTATAAGCATGGACGGCTGCTCTCCAAGCAGGTCAGTGCCCCCCAGGGCCTCAGCCTGCAACACTTTTCCACAGTGGCACAGCCTGTGGTCCCTCTGCCCTGGGCTGGGTGAGGGCCCTGTGCCCCCCACCCTCAGAGCCCCGTGTTCCTTGCCCAGACCATCCAGAACCACCTGGGGGAGGAGCTACTGCAGGACTTGATCAACTTCTGCCTCCGCTACATGGCCCTGCTCAGACTACCCAAGAAGCGGTGAGAGCCCTCCCAGCCTTGCATCCAGCCTCCCCGCCCCCCCACCACCATCCCAAGCCTGAGGGAGGACAGGGGCAGGTCTCCTGGACGCAACCGGCAGGTGCTGGGGCCCCGACTTCTCAGTGTGTGGATTCTTGTCCCGGGTGAAGTCCAGGGAGGCAGTGGTCCCAGACGGGGCTGGATTTGAATTCAGGGCCGTTCTTCTCTCTGGCTCCCTGCCCTCTCTCCTACCCCCGTTACCACCAGTGGAACCTTCATCGAATTCCGGAACGGCATGCTGAACATCTCGCCCATCGGCCGGAGCTGTACCCTGGAGGAGCGAATCGAGTTCTCCGAGCTGGACAAGGTGCCACCAGCTGTGCAACCTTAGGCTCTAGGACCTTGGTCCCTCAGCCCCTCTGGGCCTTTGCTTTCCCATCAGCGAGATGGATGGCGGGGGGGAATGGTTCTGATTGGACTAATACCCTCTGGGTCACCCACCATGTGCCATGGTCTAGACACTCCCGTATCTTCCCTACGTGGCTGGTTTCCTTCCCTTGGTGACCAGCATCAGCAGCCACCACTTACCTAGGCCAAGGGCATCATTTCGACCTTCCCGCCCATGTAGGGTCCAGCAGTGGACCCTTGATTCAGCCTCCAAGTGGCCTCAGATCTGTTCACCTGTGTGCTGTCCCCCCAAAACCCCTGCCAGTCTGTTCTCCAGCGGGGCCACTGAGAACCTTTTCAAGCATTTCGGCCCCCTCCACTCCCTGCTTACAGTCCTTCCATCGCTCCCCTTGCCGTCTGGGCAATGCCCCAGCCCCTCTGCTGGTGCCCTGAGCCCCGAGGGGTCTGCCCAGCTCAGACCCACCCCTTCAGCCTTCTCTCTGTGCATCTGTTCTTAGAACATACCAGCATGTCTCTTGCCTTTGGGTATGCTGCCCCTACTAAACCTTGACTTGCATTTTGCTTGTCATCCCCACCGCCCACCCTGCTTTTTCAGGGATGGAGTAAGTCCATCCATCCAAGCCTCTTGCCACTGGCCCGTCTCTGGCCTTCTCTCCCCCTTGCTGTCTCTGCTCCAACCACATCCTCCTTGCTGATTCTAGAGATAGCAGATGGAGATAAAGATAGCTTCAGGGCTATGCCTTCCACCCCGAACACACTTCCCTCAGACTCCGCGTCCTCTCCCCCTTCCCCTCCAGCTCTGCTCAGGTGTCACTTTCTCATTCCATTGAACATGACACCCCTGCCCCTCCTGCTCCTCTCCTGTCCTATTTCTCCCCAGGCAGCCATCACCACCCTCTAATACACTCTTGTCACCTACTTTTCAAATCTTGGTTACTGTCTGTCTCCCGCACTGAAGCTGTAAGCTCCTTAAGGGCCAGGATTTCTGTGGCTGTTCACTGCTGGATCCCCTGTGCGTGGCATGTGCCCAACACACAGCAAGTGCTCGAGAAATACTTTCTGAACGAATGAAATAGGTGGTGGTGTCATCCCCATTTTATGAATGAGGAAACTGAGGCTCAGAGAGGGGAAATGACTTGCCAAGGTCACATAGGGAATTGGTGATGTTTCCCTGAGTGGGTGGGACTCTGAGGGATGCTCACCAACCCCCACTCCCATTCCCACTCCATGTCCCAAGGCTTAGGGTAGGCACTGCCCACGGGCATGGAGGCTTTTCTTTTGGGGTGGTGGAGACTGACCATTGGCAGAGAACCCCTCCCACACACATACTGAGAGGTGGCCCCTACTTGGGCCACCCAGTTTGCAATCCCAGCTCCATCTCTTGCTTGCCGAGCAGCCTGGAAAAGTGGCTTTACTATCGTGTGCCTCCGTTTGCACGTCTGTAAAGTGGGGGTGAGCATAGTTCCCATCTCGTGGGCTGTGTGACTGCGCAAGATGTAAGTCTGGCACACGCTGACCCCGCAGCTCCCAGGGTCTTCTCTTGTCTTTCTGGCTCTTGTTCGCCCCCTTCTGGTATGAGGGGAGGGCACAAGCTTCCTGATCTGTGTGACCTACACCAGCCAGGATCCCATATAAATATTTTATTCCGCTTTAGTCCTTCAGATCCCAAGGGCCAGTAGTCCCCTTCCTTAGAAGAGGACTTTGAGGCCATAGACTGACTAGCTCAAGGTCACAGTGCTGGTGCTTGCTAAGGCTGGACTTGACACATGGGGCTGTCCAGTGGTCAGCCTGGTTCTCCAGAGACAGGAGGTACAGCCATCCTGGGCCGTGTGGGAACATTTATTCTGAGCCTGGGGCACCCTTAACTCTAACCCTGGGCCCACAAAGTAGCCTCTGGTGGGGACTCTGGCCTCCCTGGGGGCCCACCTCCCACCTCTGCTTTTCTAGGAGAAGGAGGGAGGTAGGGTTCATTCATTACCTCTCCATCTTCTCGCCCAGGAAATAGGCTCAGAGAAGTCAGGTGACTCGCCCATGGTCACACAGCCAGGCCTGGAACCCAGGAGGCCTGCCTTTATCTCTCAGATTGGGTCATATCTGGCCTGATAGCTCATGTCCTCCCTGGCCCACTTCAGGCCCCAAACCATTGGCCACTGCCTGCCTCTCTCCGTTCCAGTCCTACCCAACGTGGACTGACTAAAATGCAGTCCTAGGCACTCTACTCCCATGCTTCAAAATCCTCAGTGGCTCTTGGTCCCCTAGGATGTGTCCAAGCTCCTTTCCAGACCGTCTGTGAGCTGACTGTCCCGCCAGGCTCTCACTGCTCCTTCGGGCACAGCGAGCCTGCACTGCGCGAACCTTCCATCCCTGTGGTCCTGGCCCTCCGCACAGGGCCCTGCATGGCTGTTCCGCCTGTGGCCCCAGCAGGGCCAGGCCGGGGGTCCTTGGCCTAATAAGTGAATGTCTCCTTAGTCCGAGTCTCTAGATATGCTGCGGACTTAGAAGATCCTGCCCGAGGGCTGGGGTGCAGCAGGGGATTCCTGGCACTGCTGAGGCCCCCAGCCCCCTGCACCATGTGGTTGGTGCTGGCTGTGCCTGGCATCCTGCTGACCTCCCTCCGAGCACGCATTGCCACGTAGTAACAGGTCTCCACGTGCTCTTGGCTCCTCATGCTCGTTTCTGGTGTCTGGTTTGCTTTGTTGAGCTGGGGAAAGCCCATCCCCTCAACTTCTCCTCATGCCTCCACTCCAAGGCCTCCTTCAGATACCTCACCCACACCCCCATTGGCAGGATCCTGCCACTGAGGCTGGATGACCTTGAACAGGACACAGCCATTCCCTGAGCCTCGGTTTCCTCATCTGTAAAATGGGGGGTCATGATCTCCACCTGGAAGACTCTAAGCTCCCACCAGCTGTGTGCCCAGCACAGGGCCTGGCACAGGGCAGCCCTCTGAGCCTCAGTCTGCTCCCTCCCCTCCTGCAGAAGGAGAAGATCCGGGAGAAGTTTGTGGAAGCCCTGAAAACAGAGTTTGCCGGCAAAGGGCTGAGGTTCTCTCGAGGTACGTGCATCCACTCATCCCGTGGAGGGTCTGAGACCCTGGCCCAGAAGCCAGCCCCGGGCCTCACTCCCCAGGCCACGCGGCCCTCCCCAGCGCCTTTAGAAAGCCTTCCTGCCCGGTAGTCCTCCCCACCCAAACCCAGTCCATGCCCTGCCACCCACCCAGTAGTTCAGGTCAAAAAACCAAAGCATCTCCCTCAATGTTTCTCCCTCACCCCCTTCCCAAGGGCAGTCTCCTAGCAAGCAAGTCCCAGGGCCCTGCATCCAGAATCCTTCTGGAATCTGACCACGGCTCACACCTCTGCCACCAGCAGCCTCTTCTCAGGCTCTGGCTGACTCCAACGCAGCCATCCTCCCACCGCCTAGTGTCTAGAGGGATGCTCCCTGAAAAGCAGACCCTGCCAGACCCCAGGGCCTGCATGGCCTTGCCCCTGCCCTGCCTTCTCTGGTGCTGGGACACTCTGTGCCCTTCTCCGCCTTGGGGACTATGCTTGCTTCCCGCAGTTGCTGCTCTGGCTCAGGCCTTGGCTCAGTGTCCCCTCCCAGAGAGGTCTCCCCGGTGGTGCTGGCTGGGGCAGCTTCCCTCCCTCCGCCCCACGGCTCTGAGGTGGCCTGGCTTGCCCACTGCCTGTTCTGCCCCCCGCCCCCCCGGGACCATAGCTCTCAGTGAGGAGCCTGAGGCTCCCATGCCCTGTGACTGGCTCTGCGTAGGCACTCAAGGTTGTTGAATGAATGAATAAATGCAGGATCTTGCCCAAGTTCATCCCGTGGGCCACCCCTGTGCTCGCCTTGTCTGCCACCCCCTGCAGGCGGCATGATCAGCTTTGACGTCTTCCCTGAGGGCTGGGACAAGCGTTACTGCCTGGACAGCCTGGACCAGGACAGCTTCGACACCATTCACTTCTTTGGGAACGAGACCAGCCCTGTGAGTGTGGCTCAGCCCAGGTGTTTTCCACCCCATATCACCCCCAGGTCAAGGCCAGGACACAGGGCGACAGAACTGTCCCCGGGGAGACTCCCAGAGACCAGCCAGTCTTCCTCAGCCCCATTACACAGATTGGAAGGCTAGGGCTGAGAACTGGCTGGACGCTTGTCCCATGTCACACAGCAAGTCAGGGCAGATCTGGTGAAGGCTGAGAAGGTGGGGGTCTGCGTGGCTCTGAGGGGGCAGGAGGAGAGGCAGCTTTGCAGGGGCCAATGTGGGGAGGGGACCCCATGGCAGGGCACGTGCTGGGCCTTAGCCCAGGGAACCTCCTCCAGGCACCACATGTATGTGCATCTTCCTGCCCTTCCTTGTGTGCAGGGTGGGAATGACTTCGAGATCTACGCTGACCCCCGGACCGTCGGCCACAGCGTGATCTCTCCGCAGGATACAGTACAGCGATGCCGTGAGATTTTTTTCCCAGAGACAGCCCATGAGGCATGACCAGGGCCCACACCCGCCCCTAGGGACTTCTAGAGAGCTCCACCCAGGCCTAAAGAGAGCCCCTGGCCCTGGTGTTGGGTGGGATGCCAGGGCCCCTCCTCCTCCGGCTCAGGATGCCTACCTCCTATTACCTGCTGCAAGGCCCACCTCGATGGGGCCAGGGTCCGCGTGGACAACCGTCCCCAGCCGGTCAGCTCCTGGGGGGCCGGCTCCGCCCTCCACCCCGACAGCCCTGGCTACAGCTGCTGCTTGTACTTGTAAACAGAACAGATTTCCGTCTACGCGGGGAGGAGGGCTGTGCTAGTCTTGGTACGAGATAGAGCCCGCTCTGCTTACCTGTCCCAGGCAGGGCGCAGAGCACCAGGGAAGGTGCGTATTTGCCAGAACTTTCTCTCACAAACATTAAAGTTCCTGGAACGAGGAATGGTGTCCGCTCTGTCTGAATGGATAATTGGCCCCAATCACAGATGACATTACAGCCACCACTTTGCAGGTGAGGGAGCCTAGAGGCAGAGTGGGCGGGGACTCCCCTCACCCCCTGCCTGGTCACACAGGAAGTCTTTGATCCACTTGAGGAGAGTGGGCCACTGAAGCCCTAAACAAGGGTTAAGTTGGGGGTACCCTCCCCAAGCGCCTCCCCCAGGACCCAGACAGACAGAGGCGGCTCTGGGCCAGGCTGAGTCACAGTTGAGGGTTTATTGCCAGTGTTAGGAAGGATGGAGGGTTGGTGGTGGTGGTCGGAGGTGGGGAGTCCAGGCGGCTGGGGGTCTTGGGAGGATTTCTGACTCGACACTGCGGGGCTATGGGTTTGGAGGGGCACTGCCGCCCCTCTGCCTCCCAGACAGCCCTGGGGCTGATGCCACATCCTGTCTACTGGCTAGTGCCTAAAAACGGGGGGGGGGGGGGTCTGCTCACAGGAGGGAGTCTTGGGGGGCTCCCAGGACTTAACCTGCACCAATAAACCTTCCACCAAGGAAGCCAGGGAGTCCTTGTTCCTCTGGGGCAAGTCCTCAGGCCTTGTCGGGGCAGCTCCAGCTCAGACTAGGGTGTCAGGCTGGGCCATTCTGTTTCTCAGCAGCTCTGACCCCCTCCCAGCCTGGTAGAGCCTGGGGGTGGGGTGCACATACCCCAGCTGATCTCTACCCCTCAGGCCTCGGGGTACCTGCGGTACTGGGGATCCTTCTAAACAGATAACCCTCATCCTGGGCATTTGAGCCCCTGTTTTACTCACGACCCCGTCTCACAAGGCTCACTGTCCCTGGCAGGCTTTCCCTCGACCCCCATTTCTTGTCGCATCAAATGTGTTTTCTAGGAAGGGGTGTGGTGGTGATGGGGGGACTGAGGCAAAGCCTCTCCTTTCTGGCCTCCCAGGCCAGACCAACCCCCCACCTGAGAGTGAATGCACACACACACACACACACACACCTTAAGGGACTCAACGCATGAGATAGGGACCACACACCTCAGCCACTGGCCTAGTGGGGGCCAGCAGTAGTGCTTTGGGGAGAGGGTCCAGCAAGGGGCTACAGGGCTCGTGGTCCCGGGCTGAGGGCCATCCTGTGGGTGCCCAGGCCTGGCCCCCCCTGAGGGGACGTGCGTCTGCCTCGCCAGGTCCTCGGCAGCCTTATCTGGGCATGGGCAGAGTGTCAGCGGACTTTGTGGGTCAGGGTGAAGGGGATGGCCCCATCCAAGCGGGGGGAGATGTGCCCCCACCCCTCCACAGATCTGCGTCTCGGAGAGTGGTGGCAGCGTGGCTCAGCGCAGCCCAGGGGAGGGGACACAGCCTTGAGCTCACAGAGCCATTGCCAGGCCCAGGAGGAGGAGGGACCGAGACCCCAAAACCACCTTCTGCCCTCAGTTCCTTCTTGCCTGCCTCTCGGGGATGCTGAGAGGAGAGAGCAGATGGAAGGAAGGGAAGCTGGGCCCGTGGCAGTGAGGAGGGGTCTGTCCTACTCCAAGGGTTGCCCTCTTCCCCTGCCAGAGGCTGGGAGGCTCCCCCAGAGCTCTCGCTGGCCTGGCTTCTGTGGGAAGGGGTCCAGGCCACCGTGGGAGACCCCAGCCCAGGGTGGGAGGTGTAAGTAGCACAAGCAGAATCTGGCCCTGGGCTGGGCCTGGGGCAGAGGCAAGGGGAACCCGCTTGCACGGGGAGGGGCCCACTGGTGCCCCCTGCCTCCCAGTCCCAGGCCCGACGCAGGCCCTCAGGGGCTCAGTGGACAGGAGGGCGGGAGGGGCCTGTGCGGATGTGGCAGGGAGGGGAAGGAGAGAGCGGACAACCAGAAGGCAGGCCTGGGGGCCTCACCTTTGGTCCAGCTCACACAACAGTCACGGGTCACGCGGGGTGGATGGAGGCACGTGCTCACGGCCACAAGCACAGACAGACAGACGTGCACGCTGAGGCCGCCCAGGGGCCCCGGCCAGCCAGTGCAGCGGGGCCTAGAGCCCGCCACTGCCCATCCACCCAGTGTGGCTCCCCACCCGCCCAGCAGCTGACACGTGAGCCCCCCAGCCTAGGAGCCCACGACCTGGCCGGACCACGTCTCGTGGGGAGTATGTGGGGCCAACTGGGTGAGCACCACCTCCACAGCCTGGAACTTCTGGTTCTTGGGTGGGATGGGGCACATCTTGTAGGTCACCTCGTCGCCTTCCACGGGCACGTACTCCCCCTCGATGCTGGTGGGCGGGAGAGGGGCGTCAGCCCAGCAGCAGGCCCCACTCCCAGACACCCACTGCGGGCTGGCCTGAGGGCTGCCTCCCCTCCCTTCTCAGAGCTTCAGCTCGAATCTGTAAAACGGGAACCCGAAAAGGTCCCTCCCTGGCTGTGCTGTTTGGGGATTGAGCCATGAAAGGCAAGGGAGGTCCGGAGGCCTAGAGAAGCTCAGTGCCCACCCCCCCCCAGGTCTTGCCTGGCATCAGGGTTGGGGGCCAGGCCTAGATCATCTCTCCCATGTCCGCCTACCCTCCAGGCCAAAAGACCCAGGGGCTGGCCCAGTCCTCTCAGTTCCCGTGATTCAGGATCCCAGGGCTCAGCCAGTGGTTCCCGGGGCTTCCACGGCCTGGGTGTCCCCTCCCCACCTGGCTCCAGCCCTTCTCCGCCTCATGCCCCCCCCCACGCACCCACAGCCCCTGCGACAGGAGGAGAAAGATGCCAGGGACCCAGACTTCAGCCAGCCAGGGGAGAGGCCTGGAGAGGCATTTCTTCAGGCCCTGCAGGGACCCCGCAGCAGGGGCCCAGCCAGGAATAGGGAGGCGGGAGGGACTCACTCAGACACGTGCACAAAGATGTCCTCGGATCCATTCTCAGGGGTGATGAAACCATGGCCCTGTGAGCGTGAGAACTGCTTACAGACGCCCTTGAACACGGGGCCAGCCGAGGCACGGGCTGTCCTGAGGTTAGAGTAGGGGGATAAGAGCTGTGACCTGGGGCCTCCCCTCCCTGAACTCCCACAGCCCCCCTGGGCCCTGCCTGCCTGCAGAGCCTGTCCAAGCGCTGAAACTGCACACAGTAATGCTCTCTTGTGGTCCCACTGGACAATAAGGAGACTGAGGCCCAGAGAGGGGAACTGGCTACCCGAGGGTGCACAGCAAGTGGGCCTCCTAACTCCCCGCCAGTGCCCCTCTCTGTGCATAGGACCCTTTCCTCCTGAGACGATTCAGGTTTACATGGGCTCCTGTTGTAAGATTCCTGAGGGAAGAATGCTCAGCCTAAACTCAAATATCTCTCAAAATGGGGAGCTCACTACCTCTCGAGGTCACAGTATCCTATTCACTTATGTGTCTCTTATCCACTCATTCATTTATTAAGCATCTGCTCTGTGCCTGGCCTTGGGTTGGACACAGGGGACAATTAGTGCTTGCCATCCAAAACCTCTCCTTTAGGGACACCGGGCTGGCTCAGTCGGTGGAGCGTGCGACTCTTGATCTTGGGGTTGTGAGTTCAAGCCCCATGTTGGGCATAGGGCTTACTTAAAACAAAAACAAAAATCTCTCCTTTGGCCAAGGCAAGTCAGTCTCCCTTGTGATTTCTCCAAATCGTCCCCCCCATGTGACTCCAGCCAGTGACCTACACCAGAGGCCCAAGCCTGGTCTCTGTCTAGCCTGCCCACCCCTCACCAGAGGTCAGTCCCTTGCTTCCGTTTTGGTCCAGGCTGACCCATGTACCTGGAACACCCAACTTCCTTCTTCATCTACCACATCTTCCACACCCACTAGGACCTCATCCTCCCTGACGCCTGATGCTGTGTCCTCTCCCCCAACCCTGGGTGGAGGTGAATGGTGGACAAATTCCTCCTGGATTGCAGGCAGTTTGTGGGCGGAGACTGTCTTATTCATCACTGGGTCCCCTGGTCAGGTGCTCAATAAATCTTAGTGGAGTGAAGAATGAATGAATGAACCCAGAAGTTACTGGAAGGTCCCTACACAGCTCCTCTGTCCTTGAGTGAGGACAACAGGGGTTAGACAAGGACAGGGACAGGGCTGGAGCCCTGTCCTGGGGAAAATCACTGGAGCCTGGGCGAGCGGCAGGTACTCACGCTGAATACGTCCTGGTCCGTTTGGTGGGCAGAGGACTGGGCAGGTCCCGGGATGAGATGCCGCCTCGCTCCCAGACCCTGCTGCCCTCCCGGTGGAAGGGGAAGGTGGGCCACACAGGAGACTTGGGGGAGTGGAGTGGGGGCACTACCGGGGGCGACGTGGGCTCTGAAGTCATGGCGGGTCCAGCAAGAGAGCCTGGTGGGCTCTCGGGCACAGGGGCCGGCGAAGAGCTTGGGCGTCCTTGCGGGCAGGGCCCGGCCTGGCCCTGCTCGGCAGCCGTGCCAGCCACAGGCTCCGTCTGGAATGGGAAGAAAGAGGTACAGTTGAGTGTGGGCCAGGCTGAGCGGCTTCTGGACGCCAGGCCCAAGTCTGGAGGGCTGGGCCTGCTCGCCAGTCCTCACAGAGTGACTTCAGGCCGCTCACAGCCCCCCCACCCTGACTCGGGGTCCTCCCCAGAAAGACAAAACAGTCCTATATCCTTGCTCTGGACTGAACTGTTCCCCCCAAAATTCATATCTGGAAGTCTTAATAACCCCCCAAGGTGGTGGTATTTGGAGATGGGGCCTCTGGGAAGTCATTAGGTATAGGTGAGGTGGGGGGGGCCATGGTGGGATTAGTGCCCTCGGAAGAAGAGACCCAGAGAGCTTGCTTCCTCTCTGCCATCTGGGGACACAGCGAGATGGGAGCTGTCTACCAAATAGGAAGAGGGCTCCCACTAGAACCAGACCAAGCTAAAACTAACCTCAAAGTCCTTCCAGCTTGAAGCTCAATTCTCTAACTCCAGGGGCCGGGGAGGTGGGATGGGGCAAGTGGCCAGTGACAGTCTGGAACACAGTTTGGCACAAATGTGAGCAGCTTCACAACCACACATCTGGGTTCGAATCTCAGCTTTGTCGCTGTACCTTGGGGACTTCAACAGTTCCAACATAGCAGGTGGGAGTGCAGCCTCTGGACCCAGGTGACCCGGGTTTCAATCCTGCCTCCTGCACCTAACTGGCTGTGCAGCCTTGGCAACGCTCTTAACCTTTGACTCAGTTTCCTGCTCTGTAAAATGGGGATAGTGCTGGTTCTCACTTCACGGAGAGGTTGCTGTCAGGATTCAATGACCCTCTCCGTGCCAGGGCGTGGTAAGCCCTTGGGAATGTTGGTGAGTTTGCCTTAGCCCTATTTTCCTCCGCTCTGAAATGGGGTTGGGGATACTTACCATGCCAGGTTGCTGAGGAGTCACTGATGGAGTGTGTAATAGCTTCTGGCAACTCAGAGATACCCAATGAATTGCTATCATCTATGTTCATGGATAGAAATTCCCTCATCACCTGCTCAGTGCCTGGATGACCTTGAAAAAATTCATCCTGTATTTTCCTCTACTGAGGAAGAGAACATAGTCCTCTCCCCACAAAGGTTGGGAAGTCTCGGGGCCCTAAGAGACACTGCCGTGGAACCCTGCGGAGGACAGCTCAGAGTACTAAGCCAGGCTGTGGACGGAGCCTGGGGCCACAGTAGGGCCAGGCAGGACACCTGGACCAGGAGCACTCCAGCTCCACCGTGTACCAGCTGCCAACCTTGGGGAGTAGTTCCACTGGCCTCGGTCTCCTCATCTGTATAACGGAGCTGATAAACCCTGCCTCGATCCCTCACAGGCTACGGTGAGGCTTGGCTAAGCCTGGGGAGATAAAGAAGCTCTCATAATCCACAGTCACGTAGGAGTGAGGATGACAGGGTTCTCCACCTCCTCACCCCCGTGTTTCACCACCTCACCCCCTCATCCAAAGACCCTAGTGCCAGAGGTAAATCCCTGAGCCTCAACCCTATTTCGGGCCTCCATCTTGTGCCCCAGTCCCAGCCTAGAATTTTCAGGGCAGACTTGCCCCGAAACACAGTGTGGCAAGGGCTGGGAGAGCCTCGGAGTCACACCATCCAACAGGGGGGCAGGTCTCCTGGCCGCCATTCAAGGTCACACAGCAAGTGGGATTTTTCTGGGTCAGGCTGATGAGCCAGCTCTGCCATCCCTGGGGGTGGAGAGGCAGCCTTCCTCCTCCCCAGCCTCCTGTGCCTCAACATCCCTCTCCATCCAGGAGAGCTGCCGGGGAGTGAGAATGGCCTCTCACGGCCCTTCACAGCTCCTCACAGCCCCCCCCAAGCTGACGTGAGGTTTTTCTTTCTGAGCCTGCTCCAGGAGCCAAGGCCGGGTTTGGCCTTTTTATTCCCATTTTTAGAGAGAGGAAAACGCGATCACACAAGAACTTGGACTTGAACGTTCACAGCAGCGTAATTCACAATAGGCCCAAAGTGGAAACAACCCAGATATCCATCAACAGAGGAGTGGACCAACAAACCGCGGTCTAGCCACAGAGTGGAATATGACTCAGCCATAAAGAGGATTGCAGTCCTGAGCCCTGACGCCGCCGCGGCACAGATGAGCCTGGAGACCATTACGCCGAGTGGAAGAAGGCAGCCAGTCACAAAAGAGCACACTGCGTGATGCTATTCCCGTGAAATGTCCAGAATGGACAAGTCCACAGAGACGAAAAGGACATCCGTGGTTGCCAGGAGTTGGGGGGGACGGGATGATGGGGAGTAAATTCTAGTGGGTGCAGAGTTTCTTTCCGGGGTGATGAAAAGGTCCTGAAGTTGACCGTGGCCTTGTCGCACAATTCTGTGAGTACTCTGAAAACCCCCGACTCGTCCACCTTAAACAGTTGAATCATATGGTGTGTGAGCTATATCGCCATAAAGCTGTTATCAAAAAGGAGAACAGGCAGCAAAGCTACCCAAGATGTCAGGGCCAAGAAAGCAAGAGACATCAGGCCCCTCAGGCCCCTCGGCGCGTGTCCGGGCGGCCCCACCCCACCTGGGCAGGGGTGGCAGGTGGACAGAGGCTCTGCTTCCTTCGGTCCCGGCCTGCCCACTGCACAGTTTTCCCAGAGCTGGTATTGTGCTTGGTGGTGACAGCCAGTGCTGGGAGGTCGTGGGGAGGAGGGGCAGAGGCAGCCCACGGCCGTTTCCAGGGGGACGCAGCTGTGCCGGGCCCTGCTCTGGCCTCCCGGCCTCCTCGCCTCCTGGCCTCCCGACCCAAGGCCTCTGGCGGGGAAGGCGGGGAAGGCGGACAGATGCATTGATTGATTAGCCAGGGTTAGAGTTGAGGGCAGCAGCCCCCGCCTTCCCCTCCCCAAAATAAGTTCCCCATAACGGACCAGGCAGCAGAAGGGAGGAGGATGGAATAAGGGCAGTGATAGGCCTTCATGCCCTCCAGCCCCGCAGGACTGGCTGTTCTGGGCTCCTTCACCCCCACCCACCCTGCCAGCTTCCTTCGAGAAGCCCACAGTTAGCCTTAGAGCAGGAGTTAGGGCTGGGGGCGCAGACAAGGCAGCCTCCGCAGGGCAGAGAGCGCTGCTCTGGGATCTCCCCCACCTCCCTCCTCTTCTGGAAAATGGGGAGTGCAAGAGCGCATCCCCCAGAGCTCCTGGGAGGATGAAATGGGACAGAATGCTGGAAGAACAGCAGGTGCTGGGTGAGAGGTCGGCCCTCCCGGACCGGGCTGCTAAATTGGGCTGAGGGGGAAGAGGGAGTGGGCGGAAGGAGAGCCCCAGCTGGCCCGAGCCAAGCCCACCCCTAGTCTCCTCTTTTCTCTTTCCCCAAGGACTTGCCCAACCACTAGGTCCCTGCCCAGCCCCCTCCCTTTTTAATTCCTGCAGCCCCCGCTTCAGCAGCTGCTGTTATGCCTACATTTTGCAGATGAGGACACTGAGGCTCAGAGAGACTAAGTCATTCACTCAAGGCCACACAGCAATTAATGTCTGATCCAGGACTCAAGAACCAAGATAATCTGACTCTGGAGCCCTGCATTGCCACTGACTTGCTGTGCGAACTTGGACAGTCTTCCCCTCTCTGGGCCCTGCCAGAACCCTGGGAGAAGAGAACAAGGGGATGCAGGGCAAGCCTCTGGTTCAGGCCCTCTTCCCAGAGTGTTGCTGCAGAAAGGGACAAGTAAAGATGGGCTTTTATTGTCTGAATGCTGTACCCGGCGCAAAAGTCTTTACAGAGGCTACTCTCCATTTTGAAATCTCCCAGTTACCCTGAAAGTTTGGAATTCCCCTGGTTTCTATTTTACAGATGAGGAAACTGAGGCTCAGGGAGGTGAAGTGACTCACCCAAGGTCACACAGCAGGTGAGTGACAAGAGCCCAGATCCATCTGAAGGCAAATGGTGGGTGCTCTTCTCGTGAGGATAAATTCTGCTCCTGGTTCAGCCAAAACACAGCTGGAGTTTTTACCAAAAGAACTTTCCCTGAGAGACTAAAGGGGAAAATAAACTCCTCCAAAAGCAGAGAAACAGATGAGTGTGTAGGACGTTTGTTTCGATTCAGAGTAAAGCCCAGCCCCCAAGGGACTCGGTCCGACTGTCGGGGAGCACCTGTTGCCCAGAATGATGCCCTTCAGAACTGGCCGCCGGGGGTTCAAGGACAGGCTGGGACCATTTCTGGCTTGGGCTGGAACCCTGACTCAACAGCGACCCTCCCTTTCTGAGCCTCAGTTTCCTTATGTGTCAGATAGGGCTAATAGTTAGCACCTGTCCCACGTGTGGGAGGGGCTGAGGAGCCGCTGTATGGACGGTCCACCTGTGAGGGCGCATCTCCCTGCCCACGCAGTCTGGCTCTGACCCTCCCGGCCAAGTTTGTCTTCATTTCCCTGCGTGAGGGCCAAACCCTGGCAATTCTGCGGACTGAAGGACCAGGGGAGGTAAAACCAGAGCATCAGGACTGTTCAGAGGTAACCTGAGGTGAGGCCGTGATACAGCATGACTCAGCCCTGTCAGCAGGTGACCATCATCCTGGTGCTGGGCCTCCTCCAATTCTCAGGTACCCCAAAAAGAATGGGGTAGGAAATGGCTGTCAGAGTCCTCTCTTGACCATGCGAATCCGTCTTGTTCAGGGCAGAGTAGGGAAAGCAAGCTGGCTCAATGCCCCCAGTGCTGTGTGATCTGGGGCAAGCCCTCAACCCTCTCTGGGCCTCACTCCTCGAACCATCACTGGTCCAGACGCCTACTGAAGGTCAGTCCGACTGTCCTCTGAGTTTGTCAAAAGCACACACGTAACTGAAAGGAAGCTGAATGCCAGGCATTGGGACAACAGGCCCGAGAGGAGACAGCCCCACCCTCCAGTGGGAGGACCAGACTGACCAGAGCACAGCATAGCATAGAGTGACAAGAGACACAGCTATCATGTATTGATTGTTAGCCATGTGCCAGTGTTCTGCCAAGTCCCTGGCCCCATTTCCTTAGGCGGTCCCCACAACACCCCTACGTGACAATGATCGTTATTATCCCCATTCTTCAGAAGAGTAAACTGAGGCCCAGAGAGGGAAAGAGGCTTCCTGGGTTCACACAGCTGGTCAGGAGTGGTGCTTTCTGCACCTGAGATGTTGGGGGGGCGGTAGGTTACAGAAAGGCCTCTGGGAGGCGGGAGGAAAGCTCCCTGACATCTCCTGCCCTCCCCTGGAGAAGGAAGAACAGGGGCGTGGAAGAACTGGGGAGTCAGGGCTTGGGGTTCTATTTCTGGCTTTGTGCTGACTCAGACTATGACCTTGGGTGAATCACTTGCCAACTCTGGCAAGCCTAAAAACAACTCCCCCAATAAAAATGTCCCAGCCCCGAACCCCCAGTGTGGAGGCACAGCCGGGGGAGGAGAGGATATGGTGACTTAAAAAGGGGAAGGCCATGGGGCGCAGGATGGTGCTGGGAGGGCTTTCTGGACATTGGGGTCTTATCTACGGTGGGTGGCCTTGGGAGCCTGAGGAAACAGCCTCAGGACCACCAGCCAGAAGCTGGCACTTCCCCAGTCCCTCCCCTCCCCCAGCCACCCAGACAGTCCTTAAAATACATCAGTGCAAGAGCTGCTCCAGCAGCTGGAGGTGACCTAATTAAACCTGGTTCTTCCCCCTCTGGCAGCGTGCACGTGTGTGTGCACGCGCGTGTGTATGGGGGTGAGGGGCTGCCCCAGCCTATATTTGAGCTTCATGGAGACCTTTTCACTCTCCTTGTCACATGCTCCTACTGCCCTGGGGCATGTGACCAGGCCTTTGGGCTTCCTTGGCATCAGTGAGGGTGAAGGTGCCAGGATGGGCTCCTCAAGGGCCAGGCTCACATCCCATCTCTGCCAGGCTGTGTGACCCTGAGCAAGTCACTTCCCACTCTGAGTCCCCCCAGAGAGAGGAAAGGATTGGTCAAAGTCACACTTAGAGTAGCTGAACTCAAATCAGTGTGACCCCAAAGCCCAGAGCTTTCCAGCGTGCCAGCCGCCACCCCAGTGACCATCATTCCACCGGCTTTGGAGCAGGGGAGAAGCCCCCCACTACTTTCTGCTCCCTACCTTGCTGCTCTGCGTGGACACGGGTCCCAACTGCCCCAAGCCCCCGGACCTGGCTGTGCTGGTTGTGACCAGTAGACGTGAGCAGCTCAGCCAAGCCCGGAGCGCCCTCTGCTGGTGCCAATCTTGGGGACCTGCTTCCAGAACAACCAGCCTGTGAGTGTCCCCTCCCCACAGGCTAGCTGTGTAGGACCCCCTATTCCTCCCTCGAGGGCCCCTCCATGGCCAGCGGGCATCTGTGAACGTTGCCAGGCCTGAGAGGGGACTCTGTGGCCCATACTGTCTCTCGGCCTTTCCCAGGCCCCTGTGCGGCCAGTTCCTGCTTAGACCTTTTTCTTGGAGTGGAGGGCAGACAGACCCAGGGCGAGGGACAGATATGGGAAATAGATGTTAGAAAGGACTTCAAGGAAATGGTGAGGGTAGGCGGAGGGAGTCTGGGTGAAGGAAATATCCAGAATTTGGAGGGCCCAGAGGCCTCTGGAATGGAGTCAGTTTTGGGGACAAAAACTGGCTCCCCATCCTCCAGGGGGCCGGAGACTGCCCCTCCCCATCGAGAGGCCTCTTCTGGAGCACATCCAGGTGGGCACGGTGCCAGACCCTCAGAGAGGTTGCCCACCCTCCACCCGGGCGCACTTCCTCCTCCCCTCCCCCAGCCCCAGCGGATGCAGCAGTTCACACTCCGTATTTATTATTGTTCTCACTCAGAGTCCCTCCCCTCTCCCTGGGAAGAAGCTGCAGGCTGGCAGCTTGGCAGGAACCTGCTGTCTCCCTTTCGGGGGCCAGCATCACCCCTTATCTCTGCCTGGACTCCCTGCGCCCGGGGAAGGCCCCTCAAGGACTTGAGGCTAGCCCTGGCTGCCCCGAGTCCCTGCATCCCTGCATCCCGCAGCTGGGGGCCAGCAGCCTAGCCCGCCCCCTGCCCCCGGGGCTGCACCCTGGCAAGGGGGGAGGTCCGAGCGAGACCAGCAAGCAGGGGAGAGGAGTGGCCTCAGGAGAGGCAAGAGCTCTGGGTAGGGGTGGCTCTGAGGCGAAGATAATTACATGGAGCCACCACTCCAAGCCAATTAACACAATTATCCCCATCGCATTGGGGACGAAATAGAGTCAGGACAAGACAGCTGCTCCAGGTCCAACTATCTGCCTGCCCTAGATGGTCCCTCCCCAGCCCCAGCCCCAGCCCCAAATTCCAGGGGGACAGACCCACAGGCTCCCTGCTGCATTCTCCTTTTGGCATCTGGTAGGAGCACGATTATTCATTCCCCAGTCATTTCTCTTCCCCTGGTTCCCAGACAGGAGGCTGGGGCTTGGCAGGTGTCTGCTATTCTCTGCCTCTTGAGCCAGACACAAGTCCCAGACACACACACACACACACACACACACACGCTCTCACAGGGAGCCACACGGCCTCAGCTTCCCTTGGGGGCCAGGAGGAGGGATGGAGGGAGGGAGGGAGGGAGGACAGGGTGGGCTCATCCACCTCCCCTCCTACACCCCCCTCTGTAAACTGAACGGGGCTGGGCCAGCCCCAGGGGAGGGCCCCACCTTCCCAGCCCCGCGGCGTCCTACCTCCCTGCTTTGCCCCTGCCAAGCTGCTGTGCCCTCGCCGCCCCGTCCTGACCCTTACCTCTCCCTGGCTGCCGAGGTCCAGGCACTGGCTCCGGCGGCCGCCTTCAGCACTCCGCCTGTCTCCGGCTCGGAGCTGGCCAGCAGGGGATGGTCTGAAGGATGGGTTGTGGGTATGACTCTGTGTGTGTGTGTGTGTGTGTGTGTGTGTGTGTGTGTGTGTGTGTGTGTGTGTGAGCATGCGGCACCTCGAGCCCCTCACTCACTCACTCACACACGCCCTCCTCCTGACGTCAGGAAGAGCAGGAGGGAGGGACTGCGATGAGAATTTGTACTCCCTGCTTAAAGGGACACGGGGCCCTGTTGCCTCTGGGCCAGACGCCGCCTCCGGAGTCAGGCACAGGCTGGGTGAGAGAGTTAGCTGCGTCTCTCGGGGCCCTAAAGCTTCTTTTTTTGGAAAGTGGCTTTTATTGCCAGGCCAGGGTATAATTTGCCCTGCCAGGTGGGAGTAGCCGCTGAGGAATGCAGGGGGAGAGAAGCTGGGACAGCCTGCATTCCCGGCAATTAGAGAGCTAGTGAGTGGGAGTGCGTGTGCGTGTGTGTGTGTGTTTACGCGCGTGTACTGGGGGCGTGTACTGGGGGCCACGGGGTGGAGGGGGGTAAGTCTGGGAGAACAGAGGTCTCAGCAGAGAGGAGCCGTCTCTGAGGGGGCTCCAGACAAGGGCGGGGAGAGCCCAGTTTCCAGGGACTCTCAGACCTTCCTCTACCCTCTGGATCCTCAGAGTGTCCCCCGGCCTCCATTAGCACCAACACTGCTCAGGTCTATCCCTCGCTCAGCGGAGATCCTTGTGAGTACATGAACGTGGGCAATCACAGGCGCTCATCTCCTTCTCTGGCCCACAGTAGAAGATATTTCAATTGAATTGAATTGAATTGAATTGAATTGAATTGAGAAGCCCTGTAGGGAGTTATAAGTTTGCTACACACCCACACCCCCAACACATACCCCCCTACACACACACGCTCACCCCCCCCCCCCCCCCCACACATGCTCCAGGCCGGACAGCCCCCGCCCCCTTCCCAGTGCCCTGGTTTCCACATCAGAGAGGCCCTGGGTGTGAATCTCCGCTCCATCACTCCCAGGCTGTGCGCACTTGGGAAATCTTTTACTGACTCTGATCCTTCACAGCCTCTCTGCAAAGGAGGTAAGAAGGCCCTTTCTGAGCCGCTGTAGGTATTTCCAGAACAGTCCGTAGCTAAGCCTCAGGCCCCGCTAGAGAGGCCGCCACAAAGGGGTATCTCTTCCTCCCCATCCTTTCTCCTCGGCCTCAGCTTGGAAAGAAGGAAGGCTTTCCCGCCTATAATCCTTAGCACTCCTGACGCAGGCTGGCATTTTCAACAGAAGTCTTATTAAAATTAAAAGGAGGAGGGAGTCAAAAGGGAAATGATGGAGAAAAATGCAATTAATAACAACAGCTAGTAAGATACTCTGAGGACTCCCGGGCCGTGGGGCAGTAGACTTTGCCACCATTCAAGGCCCACAACGATCCAGCAATTTATTATCATCACCCCTATTTTGCTGGCGAGGATGTAAGGCTCAGGTAGGAGGAGGGAATTACCTGTGTTCATTGTCTGGTTAGAAGGATATTTGAACCCAGGCCCTCCAATGCCACCACATATCCCTGCCTTTCCAGAATCTCCCAGAACAATCAGGCTCAGACAGTCTAGGTTTCTGATCCTACACAAGAGATGGGGAACCTTGTTGCCCATTGTCACCTGAGGCCTGGAGTTCAGATTCTATTCTACCTGCTAGACTGAGGACCCCGCCCAGAGGAACCTCAACTCGCTTAAACCCTTCTCTTCTTTCTTTTGTCTTCCTCTCTTCCAAAGATAATCATAGTTTTCAAAGTGCCCGCACGGGCTTCAGCTCACCCGCTGCTTATAACAACTCTGTGAGGTTTACCTGGATGAGAAAATGGGCTGGGAGAGATGGGGGACCTCACGGAGTCACCCAGCTCGGAAGTGACAGAGTGACGGAACAGGGGCCTGGACCCATGGTTCTCACGCTCCAGGAGAAGGGCTGGGGCTGGGGTCATGGCTGTGATCTCCCGTGCCCACCACCCACTGTCCCTTCTGCGGGGAAACAGCCCCCATGCTCTCATCTGGGGAACGCCCTCTCCTCTCTCCTGAGCCACAGGACCCCTGGCGGCCCATCAGAACCAGAGTCAGGAATTGGGTTGGAACGTCGATGCCAAGGCCAGCTCTTCTCCCCATGGGTCCTGAATTGGCAGAGCTTTGGCCGTGGGCTGTTGGTGGCCGAGCTATGGACTACAAGCCAATGGGCCACCAGCAGGGAGTAGCCAGGGAGGACTTTTCTGAGCTGATGATGTTTGAGCTGAGCCCCAAGTGACAAGAAGGAGCCAGACTTGCCAGAATCCAGAGAGAAGACACTGTGGGAAGAGGGGATGGTTGGTCGGAAGGTCCCCGGATGGGTGAGAGCTTCGGAGTGCCTGAGGAATAGGAAGGAGGCTGGTGTGGCCGGAGCGGGGGGAGGGAATGGAGGGGAGGAGATCCAGGCTACGTGTGAGAGGCCAAGGCCTGGTCTGCCGTGGACAAGGCCAAGGCAAGGGCCACGGGCCTGACCCTCACTTCGAGTCCGGCCTTTCTTGGAGGCCCCACCCGCCGGCTGGTGGACATGTGTGGAGGCTGCCAGGCAGCCCGAGAGCTGTGAATGAAGGAGGCTGGGCTGAGGTTTGAAGTAGTGTTATGATTATTCTCTACAACGAGGAGAGGGCACAGCTGTTCATTCAGGAAATGAGCAGGCCCGTGGCACCACCCACCCACCCACCAGCAGCTGAGTAACAAAGAAATTGTCTGCTTGAAACCAAGGGTTCTGCCGCCGAGGCTATTTTTGTGAAAGGCTGAGAATTCAAAAACTCATCTCCTCGAAAGCCTTCCTCACCTCAGAGAATCTGAAGAGGTGGGTAAGAGCAGAGTAGCCCCTGAGTCCTACTGATTCCATCTGAATCCTGATTCCCACCCTGTTGCCTGCTGTCCCCCGACCCTTGGGGGCCAGGCCTGGGACTACCTGGCCTTGAATCCATGTAATGCTTTAAGATGCATACATCCTTAAGACGTCAGTGCCATCCGTTGGACAGATGTGGAAACTCAGGCACAGAGAGGTTAAGAAACTTGCCCGACATCACACAGCTGGTGAGAACTCAGGAGTTCTGGTGTCATTACCCTCTTATTCTTTCTGCCACGCCACACTGTCTTTGAGATGTCTTTTCGGTTCCCTGCATGCCCGTCTCCTGGGCCGTGGGAAGATCCTCTTCTGCAGCTTTGACCACGTCATTCGTTCATTCAGTCAAACCTTTGACAAATACTTACTGACTCCTCAGATGGTCTAGGCTGGAACCCAGCAGTGAACCAGACAGATACACACGTTGAGTTTATAAGGCTCATGTCCTGTCTAGGAAGAGACATGGTACCAAGGATGCAAACGAATAAATGTATGAATGCGATTTATGAAGACGCACACCACCGGGGTGGGAAGAAGGAGCCGGGCAGGGCTGAGTCCACCTGCTGAGGGCTGAGAGAGGCCACTTTGAGAAGGGGCCCTTGTAAGCTGATCCCCAAGGGTGAGAAGGAGCCAGCCTTGTAAAAAGTAGGGAAGAGTGTTTCCCAAAGAGGGAACAGCATGGGTGAACTCCCAGAGGCAGGAAAGGACGCTGTATGTTCCAAAGGTCACTGATGTGACTGGACGAGGAAGCAAGAGGAGGGCCGGGGTCACATTGTGTAGGGTTGGGCGGGGGCACCTGGCAAGAGGCCTGCTCCTCATCTGAAATGAGATAGGAAGGCATGAGATGCTCCTGCCTCCAGACAGTATCCCTGGTGGCCTCACAGCCTCATCCTGGGTAATGATCAACGCAGGCGGGAGACTGAGGAAGATGGAGGGGTCCTCTGGCCCTGGCCCCAGGGCTGGAGATTACCCTCTGGCCTGTGGGTGAGGGTCTCCTGGTGCTTAAATCCACTCAAGCCATTGAGAATTGCTCTCTGTCATAGGGTAAGGGGTCCCTCCCACAGCTGGCCCCCTCTGCACCCTGCCCTGAGGCCCTGGGGCTGGAGCAGCCAGGCTGACCCCCAGCGAACCCAGGGCTGGGATGGGCTGTGAGCCAGGCCTGCCTCACACATCCATTCCTGAACACCCTGAGGCTTCTTAACATTTAGGCTCACCTCCATCTGAATCTTCTGAGTGAGGCCGTCCCTGACTGCCCTAGCTAGAGTGCTAGTCACTCACTTCACAGTATTCATGTGACCTTTCTCCATAGCAATGCCTGGAATGATCTCCCCTCTCTGGAACACAAGCCCCCAGAGCAGGGCCTCATGCACAACCACCCCCAACAAATACCTGTTGACCTTTTGCACTTTGCTTTTGGCTCAAGCCAGAACAGAGAGCAACATACCGGGAGGCTCTGTTTTTAGGTCCCTTCTAGAATCACTATTCCCAGTGGTACTTCATCTGTGCTTTTGGTCTCCATGGAAGAACTTTTTTTTTTTTTGAGAGTTTATTTTTAAGTAATCTCGACACCCAACGTGGGGCGCGAACCCACAACCCCAAGATCAAGAGTTGCATGCTCTTCCGACCGAGCCAGCCAGGTGCCCCCATGGAAGGACATTTTACAAAGTGCCCAAATACGAATCGTTCCTGGGCCTGTTCAGACAGACCTTCAAGGGCCTGGTGCTGCTCCTCAGAGCTTCCATTCCTAAGAACCCAGAGGGAGGTCTCTGGGGCTCAGAATCGAGACAATCTGGACTTACTGACACCTGGTTGGTTTCCATATTGTAATTGAAAATGTTTTCCTCTTGGCTGTGGATGCTGGAAAGCTCAGAGCCAAATCCCTCCACCATCAGCAAGCTTCCAGACCATGGTGGGGGGGGCGGGGGCAGGGAGGAGTCCCAGGGCTAATCTTTTCTTTCCTTCCCTCTTTCATTCAATAATCCAACAAATATTTGTCCTGAACTGATTGTGCACCTTTCTAGGTAGTGGGGAGTGGACAGTGAACAAAACAGATGAAATGCCTGTCTTCATGGAGCTTACAGTCAGGAAGAGGGAGGGGGCAATAGAAGAACCTCATAAAGCAGGCCATGTGCTGTGGGAAACTGGTAAGTGGGGTAGGGAGTGGGGGCTGGTGGCTGGGTGGTTTGAGATTTTAAATGGGGGGCTCCGGGTGGGGGGTCAGGACACCTCACGGAGGTGTCACTAAAGCAAGGGTCTGCAGGAGGTGAGGACTGAAGACAGGAGGGTGGGGACGGGAGACCGTTCTGGGGAGAGGCAGAGGTCCCAGTGGGGAGT